AGCCAGCAGGAAGGTTATCACACCTGAGCACCCCCAAACCCGCTTGCATACTTACCTCCATGATGGGTCATTGGTCTTGCAAATATTTTAATGCCAACATACACACACAGGAAGTCTGCTTTTTATTCAGTTTTTGGAGTTCCTGATAAAGCCAGGCCATTTTCTGTTAGGCGGAGGATCTGAAAGTGTCTTTCTATTATCTCCCTTTAGAAACAGTCACCCGACAGGATTCAGCAATCTTGGGTGTCACCTTTTAAAATGAGTTCTGAAGAAGAGAATGCCTTTTCTTCTCAAATGGACTGATATACTGCAGAATGATTTTACATCATTTAAAAGTAATCTATCTGTTCTTCTCTTCTTGGAGGATTTTTTTTACCTCTTAACATTTAGACATGCTACTATATAATATGCCTTGTTAATAGTTTCTTATGACTGTTACCCAAAAAAAGATGAAAACTTCCTATTTCTAATCTCATTTATTTTCTCATTTCTGGAAGGCATCCCCCCGCCCGCTTCTGCATTGATTGTTTTAGTTATAAGCAAGCTGTCTTTCATACAAGCAACAGCTCTAGAGTCAACTCTGATAATCTTTTTCCTTGAACCACAGTAAGACTTTCTATTCTTATGACAGATCTTTACTTACTGAGAATGGAATTAAAAAGTAACAAAAAATGTTAGAGAATATTTAGAAAGCTTGCAGATGGACCTATTTCTTGGTGGATAAATGACCAAGAAAAAAAGCGTTCTCATGTAAAAATTATTCCATTTAACTAAAGCATAGGATTTTGTCATTTCTTTCTTTCTTCTTTTTTTTTTTTAAGTCGAAGTCTCGCTCTGTCGCCCAGGCTGAAGTGCTGTGGCACACTCACAGCTACTACAGCCTCAACCTGCTGGAACTACAGGCGTGTGTCACCATGCCTGGCTAATTTTTTTATTTATTGTAGAGATGAGGTCTTGCAATGTTGCCCGGGCTGGTCTTGAACCCCTGAGCTCAGGCAATCCGCTTGCCTCCACCTCCCAAAGGGCTAGGATTAAAGGCATGAGCCACCATGTCCAGCAGGATTTTGTCATTTCTTACGGGTAAACTTGTATATGTAAATGTGTGTACACTATATGAAAATTATACATATGTGTGTATATATATTTACATAAAACTCTGATTTTTTTTCAAGCAGTGAAGATGGATTTCTTAAGAATGTGTTTATTATCCAACTCTTGTGCTCTGAGCAGTATAAAAAGCACAAAATGAAAGGGAGAAGGAATATAGTCCATAAAACAAAGCATCTTCCATTATTATTTCATTTAAAAAAGAGAACCCTGTCAGCAGGCGCCCTGTAGTTACCTGACTGAGACACTGGCACGTGAAGTTGATAAGGAAGTAGATGCTGGTTCCCAAGGGGCCCTGGCTCTGTAGGAGGGAGTGAGGAGAAAGGACTCGCTGTGAGCCAGTGTGGCTATGGGGGATACCAGAGGAAGGTCTGGAAAGACGTAAACTCTCACCTGGGCTCCTTTCTGATAAATGGATGTATTTGCCAGGAAGCTGGCTGAGCCCAGGTATAGACCAATGGCTCTCCAACAAGGGTGCAAAACAGAGTCACCTAGTGGGTTGCTGTCTTGCCAGAGTTTCTTATTCGGTAGGTCTGGGATGGGGCCGGGAGTCAGGATCTGTAACAAGTTCCCAAGTGATGTCGATACTGCTGATTGAGAACCCTGTCATGACAGAATACTGTGTTAACCCTGAACCCAGGCCTTGGCGCTCAACTCTCACTTTACATACTGGAAGAAAACCAGTACTTATGTCAAGTGAGCTTGCAGCTTGCAGGACAGTGTGGTCTATGTTGTAAGAGGCAAAACCTGCCTTACATCTTTAGCATGGATGCCGGGTATGCCTGGCAGTAAGTACAGTGAGAGGCAGACAATTGCACTGAGGGTGATATCCATGCCCAGATGCATCTGACACTCTAATACAGACATGCCCTGAGCAGCAGGGGAGCTGAATTGTCATGGAGAAGACAAAACCAGGGTGCAGTGGCATGGGGCAGACAAGGCTTTGCAGGCCCACCCACGCTAGCCCATGGACAAGCAGTGAGGGACCCTTCAGCTGATGGTACAGGGGCCTTGGTGGATAGGGCTGTGCTGCAGGAGAAGAAAGCAGAGACCCCATCCCTCCTTCAGGGCTTGGAGACAGCCACACACTCCTGCCTGCCAAGCACTTATAACCATCACTACCACCGAGTCTGCAGACACTCGCACTCAGACTTTTCCTGCCAGGTCACTGCAAAGCAAGGTGAATCATTTCTGGAGATCTCATTTACAGCATGATGATGATCGTCAGTGATACAGGATTGTATTCTTTTGATTTGCTAAGAGAATAGATCTTAAATTCAGTCTGCTCATTCCCATCCCCTCCCCCCAACACACTGGTAACTAGACAGAGATAATGGATGTGTCCATTAGCTTGACTGTGGTGGTCATTTCACAACATATACATATGTCAGAACAGCTCACTGTATACCTTACATATATATAATTTTTATTATGTCAATAATATCTCAATGAAGTCATTAAAAATCTACAAGTATATATATATTTAAAAAGCAAATGCCTTGTGAGTGTGAGGAGATAAGCATCTTCTCCCTAGGGAGCCTGAACAATGGGTATCCTTGTCACAGTCTCTGTTGTCCCCAGAGTACAACCTGTTGTGACACACCAGCTTGGGAAGGTCTCCCCTGTTCCCCGTCATCCCTGCACCTGTGCTTCTCTCTCTGCAGAGACAGGGCTTCACAGACCACCCTACTCGCTCCTCTGTGGGTGATGTCTGTCCCTTCATTGGCTCCCTTGTTGCAGCATATAGAGATATGCAAACCTTTCTTGTCTCCAAAATAAAATTTTAAAAAATTAAAGCTCCACTCTCTCCATGCAGGGCTTCCTTCAGTCCCTCTCTCTTCCAGATGAGTACCTAGACCAAGCTATTTAGGCCTGAATATTCTCATCTTTTATTTAGCCATTAGCTCATTCCAACTTAGCTTACCTCCCCCACTCTACTGGCTTCTCCTCAAGTTAGGTTTCCAAGGTGTTCGTTCACTCAATCGTTAATCTAACAAGGACATTTTGAGCTATGTGACAGGCATGGTTCTAAATGCTTGGGGTGCAAAGGTGAATAAACCCAAGATCTATGCCCCCACAGAGCTTGAAATCTAGTGAAGGGAAGAGGGAGAAAAACGAGACACATGCAAAATAAAAAATTCTGTGATATGTGAGAAGTTGTGAAGGCACAGGAAGATGACAAGAGGAGAGCAGGGTTGCAATTTAAGATGCAGGCCAAAGATCAACATGTTCTTCTCCTTCAACGTAACTCAAAAAGGATAAATGACACTCATATTAGCTATGATTGTGGGCTTTCAAATTGCTGGGCTTTACAAAGAAATCCTGTGTAAATCCCCTTGAGGAAAGAACCCAGCCTGGAATAGAAAGCCCAGGAAGAAGAGTCTGCAGTCTTCAAAAGGGAGTGATTTTAGGATCCAGAGTTTGTGCCCACCACCCCCTTCACTCACGCAGTTTGGGTATCATGAGGGCATAAAGTTTTTTATTCCACCACGAAAGCTCAAGTGCAGAAGAGAGCCCATGGGGTGTCTTAAAGGTATCGACCAGATGGGGTTAAGCCAGTGAAATCAGAAAGCTGCAGAGAGTGGACTTTGGGTAGGGATTCTGCACTGAGTACCTGCCTAGGTAGAATAAACACAAGAATGCAGCAGATGAAAGTGGAAGAAATTCAATGACTTTAAACCTGACAGCGGTATCCCAAATCGTTTCCAACAAGCCTACTTTCCAGGGGGCCAATTATGCAAAGATTCACAACAGGAGGCAGCAGACACAGAGACCCCAGCCTGACTTCTCCTCCAGCATCTTCAGAGTGAGTGGAAGATACACCAGGTAAGAGAAGCAAGTCAACCGCTGGTAAGGAAAAAAATTACTCAATGACACTTATTAAAGCAGGGCAAGGCAGACTTTACTCAGGACCAACACGATAGGTATAAGGACCGAGGCAACAGGGTCTTGCAGTTGGGGAGAGAAATTGTGCTCAACTGAATATAGCATAGACAAGTGGAAATTTAAAGCCGAGGAGCAAATGGGGTCAGTGGATGGAAAATGACCAAGAGAAAACATCAGGAGCAAGGGAGATTCTGGCTAAGCCCACCTAATGGGATTCTTGCTGAAGACAGGCCAGGGTGATCAGACATCAGGATGAGGACCCTAATCAGATATGGAGAGTGATCAGACATCTAGGGTTCTTGCTAAACTGGATTTTATAAGGAAGTGTACAGATGGGCCTAGGAAAATGTAGTGTAACTAGAGTAAAGCAAAGAATCATTGTCGTCAGGTACTAGAAAATCCCTCTTTTGCTGGGATAATTTATATTAACTCTAAAATGAAGAGGTAGGAATGTGCCAATGGTTTCCAACTTTTATTTTCCTACAGTGGAGTTTTTTTCAAACAAAATTTTGAGTAGAATCTATTCCATAAAATCTATCACCGTGGAACTTCTCTGGGCTAGGGGCCTCCTTCCACATCATTCTTCCCTAGAAGCACTTTCTGAGAAAAGCAAGGGTCCCTGGAAAACGATGCCTCTCTTGTCTGGCATCTTGTGATTCCATGAGGTACATAAATCAACAAATACATAGGTTGGAAATATGAAAGAGGTCACTTAATTTTAAGGAGAAATTAAAGAGAGAACATAACTGGATGGGAGTGGGAACTCTTCAGGTAATGTCCAGAGTGGATCATCAAGGTATGAAACATACTGGTCAACTTTTGGAGAAGGAAAATCCCAGTTTCCCCCATCTAAGGAGGAATGACAATGCTTCTCGCGTATCCACCCAGAACTGGGGGTGGGATAAATAAACCTGTCATCATCAGCTGCAAGAAGCTTTAATACACCCCAAGGATGACTAGCTCACAAACACAATGACATCAAAAGGAAGGAACACCATGTCACAAACCTTGATTCCAAGTTCGATATTTTCTCCTCCGTACACATCCATGCCAGGGTCCAGAAGACCAATTTCACCAAAAAACTTCCTATTGACCACGAATGAGCAGCCAATCATGGCCGGGGTTCTGTGGGAGAGAGAAAGAAGGGAAACTCATTGAGGCGTCAGCACAAGATGTCCTTCTGTGGGCACCACTTTGGCAGGTACTGCGTTCCAATTCAACAAATCGAGTCACTCCGCTACAGGCCCTCAATGCCTGTAGCTTTCTCCATAAGGCTGCCTTTTAGCTTCAGAAAAACTAGGGGACCTAAAATCTCTAGGGATAACCTGGCTTCCCCATAGATCGGGTGAGGACCGGCCTCAAGCATCACATGGTGTCTGCACATGTGATAAGTGGTTCTTGCTGAAGTCTGCTGGCAGACGAGTGAGAGGATGGAGTCCACGCACAGCGTCAAGAAGCTCAGAGGGGAGAGGAGAAAGACATGTTGCACCCTCCTCCAGAAAGAGGAGACTTAACAAGCTGAGAGCGTGAAGGGAAACTAAAGAGGGGAAAGCAAAGGCTCCACCCCCCATGTTATGGTGAGAAAGTGGATCAGGGTAGGGATCTTTAAAGAAGGGAGAAGACATAGCGAGGAAACCACAGGTGCCCAAAGGCGTCAATCATGAATGGCAGAGAGAAAACCTCAGTCTATGGAGAGCAGGTGCAGAGCCGGAGAGATGAAAAGGGTGACCATAAAATCTGAGATAAAGACTATTCTTATATTTTTGTATACTCATATATTGATTGTTTCTTCTGGGATGGGCTAAAGGCACAAGTTGAATCAATGAAAGTCAGAGACATCCAGGTGCATTGGCTCACGCTTATAATCCCAGTGCTTTGGGAGGCTGAGGTGGAAGGATTGCTTGAGTCCAGGAGTTAGAGAACAGCCTAGACAACATAGTGAAACCTCATCTTTATAAAAAATCAAAAATGAAGCCAGGCATAAGCGCACTTGTAGTCCCAGCTATTCAGGAGGCTGAGATGGAAGAATGACCTGAGGCCAGGAGGTCGAGGTTGTGGTGAGCTGTGATTGTGCCACTGCACTCCAGCCTGGGTGATCAAGTAAGAACCTGATACTGACACACACACGTCAGAGACAAAAATCATGCAAGGTAGCATCCCACAGGACATATGTGCAGGGATTGATGGAAATGCTGTTTTAAAATATCATGTTTGGTCAGGCGTGATGGCTCAAGCCTGTAACCCCAGTTCTTTGGGAAGCCGAGGTGAGGGTATTGCCTGAGCCCACGGGTTCGAGAACAGCCTGGGCTGTTGGAGAGACCTCATCATTACAATAAATAAAAAAATTAGCCAGGCATGGTAGCATGTGCCTGTAGTTCTGGCTACTTAGAAGGCTGAGGAGGAAAGATCACCTGAGCCCAGCAGGTTGACAATGGGATGGCCGTGAATGTGCCACTGCACTCCAGCCTGGGCAATGAAGTGAGACTCTAACTCAAAAAAAAAAAAAAATTCCATGTTCACTGCAATTTTGTTTGATGCATGGAACCATGTGTTGCTCATGAGGACCAACACATGGATACAGATTACGTATTATATTATATCATATTTATTATATATACATATCTATTACATTATATGTTGTAGTGCAGTATCAATTTATGTCTTTCTGTCTGTTTCCAGATTTCCTAGGTGCCCTGGTGTAATAAATTCACTCAACAAACATTTTCTCAGCATCGACCATGTCTAAGACATTTTGCTGGTGCTGTAGCCGGTAAAGAAATACAAGACATACTTCATTGAAGCAACTAAAAGTAAATATGCTATTACCAGTATTATCACTATGATTGATACCATTTACTGAGGAATTACTGCCTCAACACAAGGTACAAAGCACTTACCACTCATGTCTCATGTGAGCCCCTCCACAGCCCTGTGAAGGAGGTGAAGCCGTCTCCATCTAAGAGCTGAGACACATGGCAATTAAGTGATCGGCCAGAGTCACAGAATAGAACTCAGCACTTGTGATTTTAGCCCTCATGCTTCCCCGTACTCCTGAGAAAAGGCATGGAGGAGCTGGCAAACACCCACACCTCCAGAGACCAGAAAGACCATTAAGATGCTTTCCCAGGCAAAGGAAGCATCTTATACAGGAGGCCCATTGAAACTGTACTGGGGCCACCAGGAAGCCATTCGGTGGAAGTGCTTTGAGTGAAGTTGTGGACTCATGTCTCAGACACTCGTCTGTTCATTCTGATTTCTAACTTGGCTTTGATCTTGACGTCCAGATTTCTGACTCCATGGAATACCACTGATGGTGAGGCAGCATGGTAGGGCACCCAGGATAAGCACAATGTGTAGAGTGGAATGCTGGTACCGCCACTGCAAGCTATAGTCGTGTTACGTCAAAGAAGCATTCTGGATCCCGGTTAAACCTCTATAGAGAATCGCTGTGTGGATTAAACAAGAGAAGATATGCTAGCCAGGCTCAGTGGCTCAACCTATAATCCCGCACCTTTGGGAGGCTGAGGTGAGTCGATTGCCTGAGCCCGCGGGTTCGAGACCCGCCTGGGCAGTGAGACCTCATCTCTACAATAAAATCAAAAAATTAGCCGGGCGTGGTAGTGCGTGCCTGTAATTCCGGCTACTCGGAAGGCTGAGGCGGAAGGATCGCCGGAGCCCAGCAGGTAGAGGCTGTGGTGGCCGGGAGCAGCCACTTCACTTCACAAAGGCGACAGAGTGAGACTCCAACTCAAAAAAAAAAAAAAAAAAAAAAAAAGAGAAGATATGCAATGAGCCCAGGGCATAGAATAGAAACTCAATAAGTAATACGCCTTTGCCTCTGACTGTGAGGCCCTTCCATGTTCTTCCAGAAATCTCACACCACCATACCTATGTACACAGGGCACTACCTCTGCTGGTGTCATGGTGCCAACCTTAACTACATCAAGGATATAGCCATGACTTCCACTGTCAGCCATTTCCTCCTGGTCCTTAGCTTCCTTTAGAGCACGAGCCTGACCCCTAGCCTGGGAAAGCACTGTATGAGCCCATCATCCGCTGGCCTCAGTTAACAGAACCAAAAATAAGCCAGATTAATCAAATCATGTTTCTCCTGAAGCTTGGAATGGAGACAGTGCTGGGCGCTAGAATCAGAGAGTCACATACATCTGCAGGGCACAGATCACCGTGTGGAGCCACTCTGGTGGACCCCGTGCACATGGAGGACTGAGCAGAAGGAGAAGTGAGAACACATTAGTATTGAGGGGAGGGTGGCCACCTGGTGACCTTGGCTTCCCATCTGCTGAGAAGCCTGGCTCTGCTCTCTGTCCCCTGGTCACAGGACAGCACCCTGCATCTGTGGTCATTTTTTCCTGACTTAAGCAGTGTTAGGGAGGTTTCTGTTCTTTGCAATTCAAAGGTGAAATTGATGCATTCTATTGCCTCCCACTTATGCTGGGGAGGGGGGAAGAGTTTTATCGCACAGTCAGAAAAGGCAAGCTGCAGGAATGATTCCATCTGGGAGAGTAAAGCCAGAGTCCACCCGAGTTGTGGAGACATGTTAATGATGCCCTGGAGGGCTGAAGAACAGCCCTGGGCATGCTGGTGTCTGCAGAGAAGAAAGGACAGGGAGGCAGCCCTGGTATTAATTCCATTTTCTTGAGAACTGTGAGCACTTCAAGAAATTCTGATCTCCTCAAAAGACTATAAACTTGGAATTTGAAAATGTCCACCGTTGACCAGCATGGGTAGTTAAGACCCTCTGCTTCTGACTCCTTGTAGGCAAGCAGGGCACTTAAGACACAAGGAGCAGTTGGTTAACAAACTCACCCAGCTTTGGAAGCTGATGAGATCCGAGCACGAGAGCCTACTGTCTCACTCTTCAAATTCAACTATGATGACTGCCATTAGCTCAAAATGCTTCCCAGAGATCAGTCTGGGGCCACCTGAGTCTGCATCATCACAACAGCTCCTTAGAAAATGCAGATTCCTGGGGCCGGCCCAGAACCATGGAGTTTGACTCACAGTTATGGAACTCTAAGGATCTGGGTTTGTTTCAGCAGGGCCTTCCCGTGGAGCCTTCTACTCCACCTGACGGTCGGGTCCCTCCCCGGGAGCAGAGATGTTATCCCTGTCATTTCTGGTATTTTCAGAAGCTACGGCCTTGCCTGACAAGGAACAGGCACCCACCAAATACTGTTGAACGATCATAACAGGTCTGGGTGAGGACCCCTGGTGGGGAAGGGCTCCATGATACCTCAGGGACCAGTTGGACTGCAGCGGAGTAGTGTGCTCTAGCTAGGGGTAGAGGAAGGTAAGAGGAAAGCAGGGAGAAGAAAATGAAGACGAGAGGAAAGATGGAGGAGAGAGGATAAGGAAGTGCCAGAGCGAAGAAGAGAAGGTGGAGGGAGAGGGGAGGTGTGGGGAGAGAGGGATCCAAAGCTCACATTCACTGTCAAGGGGAGAAGATAGGCTGCTTCTTCCTTCCAGAACCTTCTCAGGTTGCCCTTTGGGTAACATCTTCTCCAGTCAAGCAGCCCAACATTGTAATCACTTGGTTCTATCTGGATGATATTTTTGGGTTGTGGGTGTGTGGTAAGGAGAGAAGACTTCATAGCATGATTTGCCCTGGGTCCCCTCTCTGCTGGAAAAGCTCCACTCAACTTATTTGACCTGGTTCTTCATCAGAAGTCTTGGAGTGATGAGGTCACCTCAGGACTTCCTCCTTCAAACACGGCCAGGGCAAGTCGGCTGCCCATACGGGCACGAGGGCCCCCAGGAAGTCACAGCAAGCCAGGCCTCTGTCTGCATCCGGGTGGGCCTCATCGGAACCTGGAGACAAGCTGCGGGCAGCTGGCCCTAGTGCAGTGGAGATGTGGAACGAGCGTGAGAGGACTATCGTTGTTGGTATCATGAGAAAGGTCATGGTCAAAATCTGTCACAGAGTCACGAAGAACCCGACAGCGAGTTTGGAAAGGAGAGGCTGGGGCTAGACCTAGGAGGCTCCAGAAAGCAGAAGCAGAAGGCCACAGTCAAACACCAGGCTCCTGCAGTCTTCCCCACAGAGCAGACAGTGGGCAAAGCTCCTGCAGGCAGCTAATGTCTAACTGAACGTCATGGGGACTAACTGATGAAAAGA